ATTTAGAAACCCCAGTGACATTAGTAACTGGTGCCAAATTAGAGATAGCTTTGTCATTCTTTGTAAATATCAGCAAGACAGGTGCAAAACAAATTGACAAACCTCAATCTTCTTTCCTACATCTTCAGTTTTTGCAACAAATTTGAAAGTGAACTTCCTTGTTTTGCCAGGGACCAAGCACATTGTTCCTTGTGATGACTGTTCTAGAATATCGCTTTTTTGATAGGCTTCTTCTACCACACAGTACTGATTATAATCCTAATATAGAAGAATGGGGAAAAAGAGTTGATAGTTACAGATTTAATGCATTTTTGTAGATAAATGGTAGTACACTGAATGTTAAGGCTCTGTTACCAGATCAAACTATATTAGTTCTTGCTACCTTTCACTCTGAAATTAAGACTTAGGTAACTAGAGAGTGAAATTTTTTGATATTAAATACCCATTATATTAACTAATCTAACTTCATATAAAAACCATCAGGAGAAAGAGGACATTAAATTTTCAGAGGATCATTGTAGAGAGCTTCATAGAAGAACAAAGATATTACATATATACTAATTAAACTGGATTTGAGAATTTTATCACAATATCAGTACAGCTGTCAAAAGGGATAAAGATAATGCAAAAAAAAACCCCGCTTTTCCACTGAAGTATTAGCTGAAGTAGTCATCTTAAAACAAAAATTTTTTTCCAAAAAATGTAAAAAAATATTATTGCATTCTTATAATATTTATTGAGTTAGAACATAGTTACCTGGTTATTGAAACTCACGCAGAGCTTAGAAAACCTGATAGGATGAGGACAATCAGCTTTCAAGTATATATCAAATTGCACAGGAACATCAACATGAAAACTTGGAGCAAAAAATTTTGCTTTGCACTGCACTAGAATTAAAAAAAAAAAAATGCTTGTTACATATGAACTACAACCCTAACCTCCAGAAGCACTTTCTTCTCTTTCACTATCATTATGGTAAGAATTGTTTTGTATCTATACACAAACCAAACCTTTAGGAGTAAGTGGGACTTTTTGGCTCCTGCCACACACAACTACTTTTCAGAATTTTGCTGAAAATGGTGGCAGGGAGAGGCTCTGGGGGTGGGAGGAGGAAAGACATGTCCAGCAGTAAAAAAGACAAACCAAAAACAACAAAAAAACTTAAGATATATTATTTTTTTTTCCTGTAGGTAATGCTCACTCATGCCCCCTTTTCCATGAGAGAGATTACCTCGCACACATTCTGTCCTTGCTCCTCAGAATTCTGCTTCAAAGCACACTAGAGTTGCAGAAGTCTCAGAGAGCAAATGCTTATTATTTCTACTGCATTCAAAAGCAC